ATTTTGGTACGATATCCGTTTCTCTCGTGGCGTTGTTTCTGCTTCCAGCCACTGGATTGAAAACATCCTTTTTCTGAAAAGGAAATCGAATGTTCCGAATCGGTTGATTGCCAGTCTTTCTTATATTTCATCATGGACGTCATTTGTTTCACATTCCTTTCATGAAGTTTATCCTTTAGCGCTCATCTTTTTTCTGATATCAGCAACCAGAAGCTCTCCTTATTAGGTCTAAATCAATGCCTACAGCCGTATGACAAGCAGAGCGTGTAAAGTTTTATTTCTTTCCCAATAATTTCTTCTCAAACGTAGCTGTCTGCTGAAGTTGGGGATCCTATGTACTTCATCACAGTATCGATGTGGAGTTTTATAAAACGGTTCCACTTGAGGGATAAAGAACGCGAAGGAGTTACTTGCACAGTGCAGACGTGTTATGAGGTTATAATGATATCAAAGATGTCAAAGCAGTTTAGAAAATTCAGGCTTAAAACTTTGAAAATGCAAAGCTACATTTTATGATTATGGCATGTTGATTTGATGAGCTATGTTAATAGTGATTTTCCTGTTTGCTTAGGTTCACTATGGATGAAGAAAATGACACCTGTGCGGCGGTAGAAGAGGCATTTTCACGTGGGAAGCACGAATTGAAAATATCAGGCACAAGTCTGGATAAATGGCTAACGCCTTCGGGTTGTGTTCCATCTCGTCTTTTCGAACTGAGTTCGCTGAACTTCCTAGAGCTGAGCAAGTCAAATCTCCGTATTTTGCCACCTGCAGTTTCAAAGCTATCCAATTTGACCTCTCTCATGCTTTACTCTAACCATCTTGAATGCCTGCCGTCGTCCGTCGGGGAGTTGAAGAAATTGAAATTTCTGAACGTGGCCAATAATTCGCTCTCCTCCCTACCGGACAGTCTACACGAGTGCTTGGAGTTGCAGTCACTGATCGCATTTCACAACCGTTTATCTGTGATACCCGATACCTTCACTTCGCTGGTTTTGCTGAACGACGTAAATTTGGCAGTGAACTGCCTGACGGAGTTTCCCAGAGCCTTCTGTACCGTGAAAATGCAACGTCTTTTGACTCTTGATATGAGTGATAATCAAATCACGAAGATCCCTGATGGAGTAGTGAATCTCACCAATCTTCGAATGTTGGATCTGTCGAATAACAAGGTTCCGTCTGTTCCGCAAAGTTTAGCCAATTGCTCGAAGCTGAAAGAATTGAAGCTTAATGATAATTGTCTTTCGGATAAGCGGTTAGAGAAGCTGGTCAAGAGTGGAGTGCAGAAAGCCATTCTTCAGTACATTGGCAAGTTTGGGGACAAGGAATCACCAGAAGAAGTTTGTAAGCAAGATGGAGAAAAAATTACTCACGAAATAGCTGACCCGTCGTTGACCAAAACCACTTCTTCATCCAGCAAACCGGTAGTCTCTTTTAACATCGTAGTGCTGCCACATTCGCACCTGAACATTCGCTTCGATTCGATGGTTGTGCAAATTCGGCCGTATCTGCTGTGCTGCATCATACACAGTGTAGATCTTTCAGAGCCAGCAGACTTGAGGAAATTCATAAAAATTCAGGTTTCTGACCTTTCTTTCTTTCGTTTATTTACATGAACATTAGTTTATTATAGATTTCACATTAATCACTTATTTTTGATTCATCTTGTATTTATATTTGTTGTATTATGTTATGGCAGGGGCAGTGATAGCTATGCCGAATAGACTGTTCAAACAAGCCAAAAGAGGGCATGCGCGCAGTCCTCTATCCGCATTCTGACGGACATTTTCATGAAACTCTGAAACTCGCCATACAACTATGCTCAACCACCATTATTGATATCTTGTGACCTCATCAACTGGCTCCTGCTTTTCTCTCTAAGTTAGGAGGCATTCAAATTGTGAGCAACTGTCTCATTCCAATGAAATCTTAACCGACGTTCCACAATGGCATAGAACTGTTCTGGCTTCATCTGTTCAATACGGATAGCGACTCCGCTGCTGACTAGTACCTTCGCATAGACCTTTGATAGCCTTCGCCGTTCTACTATGCTCCCAGGTACGGGAAGATGTGAAAATGTTCTAATCGTCTGCTTTTCTTGGTCTGCTTTAATTTTCCGAATGGATTTCTTGGCGATTGGTAACAAGGGTGATGACTGAGACAGTATAACGTTCGATTGAGTCGATGCACTGAATAACTAGTTACTAAGTTTTATTGAAGACTTTCCCACGGGCTCAAAACTTTTTACTCCCTCATCCGAACTTGGGATTCACAACGGTAGAGTTACTAAATTTTGTGTATCACTTTATTAAAATTTTACGTTAAATTTGAGGAAGCTTTCAGGCTTAGAATTAATTATTTATTATGTCTGTTTATTTTATAGTGTAATCTACTTTTGCTACATTTAACTAATGTCGTGCTTATTTGCAATTTCTAACCGTTTAGAGCAAACTTCACGATGAAGAATGCAAAAAGAGGACGGCAGGTACTATTGCAACTCACGACCTCGCATCCATTCGTTCTCCTCTATTGTACACTTGCAGAAATCCTGTAGATATCATGGTGAGTTATATTTGCTATAGGTTTCATTGTGATTATGTAATTAAGAAGCTGATTTAATCACATCGTTCGGTCTCATCATGGCAGGAAGCAAAAGTGTAGTAATCAAACGAAGGTGCAATGAGTTAGAAGAATTTCGATTTTACACTTACTTTGCTTTTGTCTTTCCGGGTGGAATTCCGTTCTCAATCTGTAGTTATATATGAAAGTAGATGATTTCCGATGAAATTAATTGGATATCGACCAATTGGGAGAGAGAATGCTCCGCGCTTTCTTTCTTCTTATGTGGACATGTACATTTTTTCTGGAGAAAGAAACTGGGAAGTTGTGAAGTTATTGTTGAAATATTTGATTTCGGAATTGCAGCGGAGTTTTCTAACTGTCGTAGTATCACATTAGTGTCAACTTTGGGCAAGTGGATTTTGGATTGTTTTGAAAATGTTGAGGGATGTAGCTGTTGGTAAACTTTGCCAAATGGTTTCTGATAAAATTTTCACTCTTGATTGAATGTATTAACTCCTCACTTATATGCGTGTAGTTTATTCTCATACGTTATATGAGGGTTTAAAAGTGTGTTCTAAACTCTTATTGAGTCTTTGTCGTGTTTTTGGTCGCTGTCATTTAGCATCTTTAGATACACCCTTTGTCATCTTCTAAACCTGTCATCGCTACTGAGCTTATGAAGCAGCTGACGGCAGAAGCAGAGGCTTTAAAGAAGGAAAAGAAAAGAAGCGTATATTCAGGAATTCATCAGTACGTCAAGTTGTCTGCTGGTAATTGCATTGTAATTTTTTATCTTTAAGGTATCTTTATCTGCTGAAGGATAAATCTGAATACCCCTGTTTGGTGGATGCTGATGACAACGTGATTTCTCTTCCTCCCCTGACAAACAGCTCGCTCACAAAGGTAGAGTATATTAACGGTTTCTCATAGAAAGTCTTCTTTGGCCGAGGATCATCGTTCATGCGTTAAAAAGCTGAATTTTTTTGAATCATTCCTACCTTAGTGTATATGGGTATTCCACTAATGTGTTATTTCATAAGCTTGTTTTGTGGAAAGTAGAAGACAAGATTCCTACATTGATAATTTATCATTGCTATTTTAGATTTCTTCTTCAACGACAGATGTTCTGGTTGAGGTGTCCAGCTCGGAAAACTTTGTAGCATGCAACCGCATAATTAATGCGTTCATTAATGAGGTTCTCCGTTCCGGTATATTAAAAAGCAGCAAGACGGCAGAAAAGGATGAGATCTCTGGGGTCACCTCCATGCAGATCGAGCAAGTCAAAATTTTACAAGACGATGGAAGTGTTCGAGCTACCTTCCCGTCAAAAAACGACTTGAAATTCGACAATGTGACAGTAAATCGGGAATTGTTGAAATAGCTGTGCTGTGAAAATTTGCAATAAAATAGTTCTAGCTACAGACAGTTATTGTCAGTGAATTTTGGCCTGTTTTTCTTCAAATGGAATCGTTGACTCTGAAGTGAAAAAACCTGTGAATCAGTTACTGTATTTGATCTTCTTGACAGAGAACTTCATGCTTAAGAATTGTGTACAGGTTATTGGTAGAAATGAAGCACATGGTATACAAAAAAACGCCAGCCACTGCGGGAATATGAAAGCTTTATTCTAGTGTTCACTGCAATAGCGTTACGAATTTTTATGTTAATTAGTTTGAAATCAGGACTTCTTACATCTTGTGGTGTGACTTCTCGCTCGTTGGTTTTTTAGCATCGTTTTGTATGTTACGGTGAAGTAAGTTTATTCTTCTGGTAGAGTAATCTTGAAGATCTGTTACAAGCATCTGAAATTCATTGACTATTGGTTTAAATGTAAGCATTCTATGACATGTTCTTTTATATTTTCTCATTCTACTCAGTGCGATCATAAGCTGTTCTTTCACATCGCTGTAGGTACGATGGTAGAATCTAAAGATGCTAGGCTAGGCCTTCATTGTGGCTAGAATATGGTATGCATAAGTTCAGGGTTGTACACTTTAAACCGAAGATTATCTGCCGAAGATAGAAATGGTTTAAGACGATATTCGAAACAGACAGATATGGCACCTTTTTCTTAAATGGTAAGATTGCATATAATAAGATTTGGCAATTTTTAATGCAATTGTTAATACAACGAAATCAATTTTTTCATCTGTTAATGAAAATTTTACATTAGTAACGATATAAATTGCTGTGACAGCTAAAGGAATATGTGACGGCCATCCAGTTCTGAAAACAAGTGCTTTAACCCTAAAGTTAAGGTTTCATTCCAGTCAAGAAGCAGTCAGTAATGGCTTCAATCCGCTCTAGGCATTTTTTGTGCTTTAGGCCAATATTTGGAAACTTCTCCCAGTCAGGGTAACAGAATGGTTCGCAAAGCTTCCAGTCAGCACCAAAAACACTTCGTGATCGACAGCACGATCGCATGTCTTTTCCATCTGCGGCACACGACAGCATCGGTTTCAGAGACTGGGGTTTGCAGTCACCGGTCACGAAGGCGTCTAAGAGCTGAAAGTTTACAGTAAAGGATTTTAATTGGGTCGGTGTATTAATTTTTCTTACCTTTTCCTTCTTTATTCCGTAATCGCACTGTGCTGCACATTGTGGAGG